GGACAGCCCCGCTGCCCGCGTGCTCCGCCGCTTTGCTTCCTCTCCCTGGTCTGCTGGAGACCAGGGAGAGGGCCCCGTTCGTAACTGCGGATCCGACGTAAGTCGGATCCGGGTAACTCGGGGACTGCCTGTACATGGTATCCATTGAACTCACAATAGCTCCAATGCAAACATTAGGGTTCTTTTCTGATGATAATACCTTCAAAATCAGTCTCTTCTATTCAAGACCTATTATAATATAAAACTAAGTTGGAAATTGTGATTGGGTTCTTCTAGTTCATCTTCCTTAATTCCTCATTCCTCCCTCTTTGATTTAATGGGAAGTGACCATTAGATCGTCTAGCCAGATGCTTCTATGTATCACAGGCAATTAAATTTCATGCAGTATCTCTGGTTTGAGTCTAGTCATGTGGGTTAAACTAAAGCATTTCAATTTTTGGGGGAATAAATTTGTGTGCACCACAAGCAGAAAACAGGAGAGACTGAGATGGCCCCTGCAATGGCAGGGAATTATTTAAGTGGGATATACTCAGGTGATCTTTCACTTCCTTTTCAATTTGTGCCTCCAAAATTGAAAATCTTTCCTCCTGATGCCTCTATTGCTATTGACAGGTGAATGGCCCTTCCTATATCAAACTCGCAGCCTCCCTTATGTTTGACTCTCTTCTTTGTCTGTTATGTCACAATAGTAACTTTGTCACCAAAATTATACCCCTTTTTCTGCTCTTAAAATCTTCAACCAAGCCATATCTATGTCCTAGGATAACTGTATCCTGCTTCTTGCTTCACCTGCTACAACCAATCTACAATGTGACTCTGTGCTCTCCAATCCCTTGATTTCAGATCTTTGCCCAGCCTCTCATATACACAGTAACTAACTAACTACAGTATTTTGTCTAAGTACAGTATTCTTTTCTTCTCCTTTCTGCTTAAACCCCATTTCTTCTTTATCAGTAATCACTGTCCTTTGCCCTCTTTCATGCTCACTCAGCAGTGACAACGATGGTCTCCAGGTCTTGCTATTAGGAATTATAGTTTAGTATCATATGGGGTCTTTATGTGGTAGGAAATATAAACATTTCCATGAAAGACGTGGCCCAGAAGAATCTTACATTCTTGAATATTATTTCTGGCATTTTCCTTGACTTGGTTTCCATTCAGGTAGTCTACTCTTGCTATAAGACTTACAAAAGGCATCATACAGTACTTTGTTTATTGGATTTTCAGTGTATTGTTCCTGAATGATGGGAGTTCTTGGTGTTACAGAGTGAGGAGCTACACCTCTGAATTGTCATTTATGTATAGTTCATCTTAATAGTACTGGTTTGTGAATTCCTTATTGCACACCTCGTAGGGATGTGAAGGACTAGTCGACTATCTGATAAGCATTTGCTAGGATAGGATAGTCGACTAGTCACTCCCCCCTTGCTGCCTCTATTTGATAGAACAGCAAGGGGTGGGGAGGAAGAAGAGAAGAGAGGGTACTTAAAGTAGCAGTGCTGCTTGAAGCCTGGGGCCAGACCCCAGGCTACATGTGGCGCTGCTGCTTTGAAATTCCGAGTGTAGCCCAGAGCCAGCTGGGGTGTCCCCAGGTGGCACGTGGTGTTTCAAAGTGGCAGCAGCACATGGTGCCAGGGATGAGCTGGGGATTACCCATCTGACCCCTGGCTCCGTGTGGTGCTGCTGCTTTGAAATGCCACAGGGAGACCAGCGTTGGTCTGCATGCAGCAATTCAAAGTGGCATTGCCACATGGAGGTTGGGGTCAGCGGGGGAGTCCCTAAAGCTGTTGCTGCACTTCAGTGATGAAGGCACCCTATTGACTAATCAAATAGTCAATGCAAAAATGCATTGACTACTCAATTAGTCAGTTACCCGATACTTAACATCCTTAAGACCTCTACCAATAATTTTAGAGCGTGCTGTTGACAAACATGTTATAAGTACTTCAAATAGCTATTTCATTGGTATATTCAGTTTATGACCAATTTTCTTTTTCATTTGGAAAAATAATCTTTGTAGTTGTCTCTTTTAAATACTACATCTGTCACTGTAAGTAGTAAAAAAAGGCAGCTTTTAGGCAAAGCTTCAGAAGTGGGTGGGAGGATCCACAGTAGATGGATTACATCACATTCTCTTTCATGTGCCTTTGTAATTGTTCTGCATGTAAAGTATTTTTGTTTTTTGTAGTACAAAGTGCTCTCTGTTCTCCCAGGATCAGGAATGGGTATTGCAGTATCAACACCATCTACACAAAAAGTAAGTGGCCAGCTCTATCTGTATTGCTGCACAGCAATATCTGCCATTTCTTTATAGCTCGTGTTAGGGGCAAAGGGACCGTGCATGCATGCATTCGTGTGTGCGTACACACACACATATATGTACATTTTTGCTTTAACTTTTTGTTTTTATTCAGTTCAATAAATTTTGGGAACTGAGTGCATCTGTTACAGAGTATTATATAATTGACATTGTCTGACTTGGTTCATTCAAGTGGAATCAAACAATTCTGTTTTAAAATGGTTTTACTTTATCCCCTCGCCTGTGGTGCTCACAGCTCTCTTACTCCAAACTTAAATTGGCCATTTTCTTGCCAGCCATCTTCATGGTGATCATAGGAGCTCTTTGCTGTAGTGTTACTAAATGCTGGAAACTCAACGCCACCTACTCTGTAGGTAGTTCCATGGAGTGATAGTGACCACAATGCGCTTAACAAAGTTTTATTGTATTACTCATTATCTGGCACACTGTTAGCCAGAAAACTCTGTTAACCGGCATTGCCCCCAGCCGATTAACAGAGTGCCAGATAGACTGTTGCTCAGCTCCCGGAAAGGAGGCTTTCTCCTCCCCCTGAGTGGAGCCAGTTGTTGGCCCTGCTCCAGGGGAGGAAGCTTCCTCTTCTCCCCATCCTCTTTGAAAGCTCTGCTCATGGGGGAGGAAGAAGCCTTCTCCTCCGAGGGGGACTGCAGACCTTGCCGAGGGGGAATGTAGCCCTGCTTCGATGGAGGAGGCTTCCTCCTACCCTGGAATGGAGCCAGCAAGGACTGCTTAGTTATCCAGCACATTCAGTTAACCAGCACCACCATTCCCCTGAGTGCTGGATAACAAAGCTTTCCCTGTATAATAGTTTGGGTATTTTGAAGGCTTGTGCTTTTTTGACAAGTTCTCCAAAGCATGGCTGAAATCCACTAAGGTTTCCATCTTCAGAGTTACATTGTCATTTTTCCAAGGACATGTGAACTGAAAACTCATGAGCCTTATGTAGTTTAATAAACATTTCAGGTTACATTCTGATAAACCAGGAAATATTAGTTGTCAAGGCTCAATAATAACTTGGAAGGAGGTTCCTTTTGTTTCATATGCTAGTGTGTGAGCCTTTTACATCCATGTCTTGGCATGAATTTGAAAATTATTTTTTTTAAACATAATTTTAATAGACAACTAATTACTTGGGATGTTTTTAAAATTGGAAAACCAGTTTTAAAATAACTCTATCTCCGGTTATCAAGAAGGCTTTGTAGGTCTCAAGCAGTTGGAAATGGAAATAAGACTGTTCATAGGTCTTCTATACCGATTTTCTTCACGAGTGCTAGTGCACTAGATCACAATTGTGAGAGCAAAAATGATAGATGAAAATGCAATCCGAAAATGCACTGAACAGATTCTTAGATTGTTAGGGAAAAGCCCCTTCTAACTTCAATTCATATCCTGTTCATGTTTCACTGGGCCAAAATAACACAACCCCAAAACAAAAGAACCTAAAGCTCTAAAAAAGGCTTGTTAAAAAGGAAGGGGGGAGAAGTGTGTTTATAGGCAAGTCTGACCAGATTTTCAAATTGACTCTAGGAAACTTTCTTCTTTCCTTTAGACTACAATTTGGGTTGATTTTTTTTTTTTGTCTTCTAGCCATTGGTGTTTGGTGCCATGGTACACAGAGATGAAGCTTTTGAGACAATTTTAAATCAGTATATGAAAATAACCTCTGCAGCATCGAATAGTGAAAGCTAGTATCTCATCGTCAGAAGATCAAGAGGAGACTTTTTTATTTTACAACTTGGTAGTGAAAAATTGAACATCCTCATCTATTTTGCAATAATTTTTGTCATATGGTTTATATTCTGTCTGTTACTAAATCAAGTGTATTTTATATATGCCTTCATGTTTGTTTTTAAGGTTTTTGTAAAAAAACAGTGAAAGTGCTATCATCACTATTAGCCTTGCACATTAAGCACTTTTAATGTTTATTTACTGACATTAAAAGCTAGGCTGATGCTTGGAGAACTGACTGAATAGACAACCGGACCGGAACAGATTCATCCCTTGGGTAATTCCATTGATATAACCAGGAATTAATTTCGCCCACTGTCTGTTGTTTTTACCTGAATTGAAACACATTACAATAGTCTGGTGTTTGTTGGGTACAGCAAGCACAGAATTGGTACTTTATGAAACCGGTATCCACACCTAGGATATACCACTATTAGCTGGTAAGAATACTGATAAGGCAATTTTTCTTGCTGATTTATGTACTATAAAAGGGTTTATATTTGCAGAGTTTGACTTATTCTTTTTCCTGTATAAATAGTTTCAAATCTTTGTGCAGTGAACTCAGCATTACAAATCAGAAGGAAATGATTGGACCCTTATCTTCTTTTTCTGATCAACCAAAAGTGCAAGAGGAAGAAAGGAAACTACTTGTTTTTGAGGGTATCAATACTTTGTTCATACAATTTTAGGCACCATATATTTGTATTCCTATTGATATTTGTCATGGAAGGGCTCAATAATTGTACTTGTACACATAATGTAGCAAGATGCATGTATGTTCATGCAAAAAGACTTAATGGGTATCTTTTTGTGATGGGGGAGTGGGAAATAATTATGCTCAAGTAAAACTTGAGATCTGTTTTGTATGATATGTATTCATTTGTATTTGAGATTTGGGGAAAAAAATCAGAGTCCCTCATGACAGAAATGTCAGGATAATGTAACAAATGAAAGCTCTATTTCCAAAGGAAATTACTCTGTTTTGATCTCCCCTTCTTTATTCCATTTTCCCAACAATAGAACCCGGTATTGCTAAATAGAGCAATAACACTGTGCTCATCTTCTACATACATTTTCCTCTACTGGGGGGCAAAGTATATGACATTTATCATACTTTAAAGTTTGAAAGCTCGCATATTCCATGTAATAAAGCCCATCTGAGAATTTAGGTTTTCATTTGCATTATTCTAAAGGCATAGCTGATAGCTCTCCTGTGTATTTTCCCCCTACTGCATCTTTTGAGCTTAGTAATATTTTCATTGAGCAAACTTTTTCAAAAAGCCCATCAAGAACATAATTCTGTTAGCCTATCTTAAAAAAAAAAATCCAAGGATTTTTTTAAGTCAATACACTTAGCCATGTATTTTCTATTGAAATAAGTTTTGTGGGACATCATTACTCAGAAGATCTTTAAACGAACTCCAGGTTTACATTCAATTAACCTGTTTCAGAGTGGCAGTGAAGATAATTTTAATATTAATATGAATAATTAATTATAGTATTTCTCCATATTGTGTTTAAAGTTCATGTACATTGGAACTTACTCATTTGAATATTGAAGGCATAGAGTTGTTCATGCTAAGCTCTATGCTGCAGACATAAGTGTATAAATATGTATCAGAATCCATCTTAAAGAATTTAAAATTATTATCCATGCACTGAGTCATCAGTTCATGGAATTACTTAATCATGCATTCAAAGATTGTCTTGAATAGTTATGAACATTTGCTTAAATACTGTATGAAGAGGGATGTTTTCCTGAACCAGGGTCTTGAAAGTTTACAATATAATTTAAGATTAGTAGGAGATCTAGTTATCCACTATATAACAAGGATGTTAACCAAATACCATTTTTAAGCTGCTTTCATTTGGCAAATACGGATATTCATTTGGCATAAACAGGCTTATATTTAAGCAAAACTATTACTTTTATCATGTAGATTTAAAAAAAAAAGCAGTTTGATTTAAGGGGAAGAAATTGTCATTTATCCAACAATTTAATATATAATTAGACTGTTATAAAACCTCCATTAAGCATGAAAGTGGCAAATGAATTACAATAAGTGGTAAATAAATAAGCATTAATATAGGTTTAATGTTATGTGCAACTTAGTCATGTATTCATGGTTCATTCAGTTTGTCTTAACTCCTTGGGCGTTTCTGAGGTGGTCATTTTTTTGAAGAAACAGAAGATTATATTTTTTATGGAGAGCAACTGGTTTTTCTTATTTTTGTATCATTTTCAAATGTACTTTTTACCTTTTCTCTGATCATAAGGCACTGGATTTAGTGCAACTGCTGATGACTGCACTTATTACCTCCTCTCCCCATTGACTGACTGTTGTATGTAATATTGTCCTATATTCTGGTTCTTGAAAGACAAAAATATTGTTGGGGTGAAGATGCCAGGATAGTTAACAAGACTTATTCTTTGAAGAAGAAATAAATCATTTGCCATCTTCACAGATTTAGAATCCTCCTATGTACAGCATACTTTAGCTTGGTCAACAACAGATAACCTTTCTCCTAATGCTGATTTGTCATTCAAAATTAATCTGCACTTTAACAATATGTACTTTAAAAATTGTTAAAGCAGTACAGTTATTGCAAACTACAATGCAACATTGGTTCATTATGATAAAAATAAAATGAACTGGATTTTTTAAAGAGTAAAATGTGTAATATAACTGACATTCATGTATATATTTTGCAAAGTTCACTTTACATTAGGTTATAAGAATTATTGCAAAGTAGCTGCTCTCGTGTTACAGAATTAAAGGCACTAGTCAATAACTTCAGTGTGCTTACTTGTGACTATCGCTACGCTTTTTTTCTCCAATGTCCTAAAATGCTGGCAGGCAGTGGGCAATTACATAATTTACTTGTGTAATTACACTGAAGTTAATTTTAAATTTACCTTCCTACTTACAATTTGCAGTATAGTCCTCTTTTTGATTCAAGGTTGAGTGATGCCATTTAATGTAAAGTATTACCTTTTTGACAGCAAAAAGTGATGTTTTTGCCATTGTTCATTTGCTGTTAACTGTTGTAATTCAGTTGATGTATATGGTTTATTGTTGGATCATTCGCATTTAATTGGTTTAACTTCTTTCTTAGAAGTTTAGTGGTTAGTTTGAGTTCCTTTGAGGAAAAAAAGGGAGATGAAAACTTACCACATTATTCGTCGGTGACCATTTAAACAAAGTTCAGATCTAACATCGTTTTTCTGTATTTTGCCACTATTGTGAGTTCAGATTGAATAAAAATAAACTACTTATAAGTGGCAACATGGCACAAAAAGCCAGCAACAAAACTTTTATTTACTGTTCATGCAGACCAAGAGAGAAGATATTTTACGTGAGAGTGAAGAGGTGAACATGTGTACACTTTTTTTTTGTCAACTTAAACTCCTACAAAGAAAACTGGTAGTTTTTAATTGAATTCTGTAAATTTTGTCTGATATTTAATTTCTATTACTAAACAATGAAATAGAATGTGTGTTAAATTAGTTTTTATTTCTGAAGTTTGTCTATTTTGAAGTTGTAAATAATGATCCATTAGCAGTGTAACTTTTGGTCAAAAAGAATTACACTATAAGAAGAATTGAAATAATGAAACAATTTGCCCTGTACATTTTTTAAGAACTTTGTTTAAAAAAGAATTGTATAAATTATAATTTTTATTTAAATAAATCTAAAATGCTTTGAGCTAACGTATATTTTTAACACATCCTTCAGATGTCTCGGTATCCACAGACTGAAGTTAATACACATTTTTCTATTTTCTTGTCATCAAGAAGATCAAATAGGTAACCGGTTCTTTTATAGGAAGCAGTATTATGAGTGTTGATTGAATTTTACATCTATAAATTGTTTCTAAATAGCTCACATCACTTATTTGAAATTAAGAAAAAATAACATTTTTCTTCATTCTATTCAGATTTAAAAAAAAATAAAAACATCTTTCTGCAGCAGTGGCCCTTTACATTTTCTGGTTTAATCTAAGACAAATAAATACACTTACCAGAGAATATGTTGTATTCCCTTCTACATGCCTGTATTTACGAACACCACAAATGTTATATATACCATTGGCAAGAGTTCACAGCCCATCCACGGCAACTATCCAGTAGCAGACGAGTAGTTTCTGTTGCACCTCAGGATATGCCTACATAGCAGTATTATCTTGGAATAACTTCCAATCCTCACTTTCATACTAGATAGATTTTTCCCAGGAGAGTTCCACAGCGCCTAGGCCTCAATTGGAGTTTTGTGTCCAGTTCTGGGCACCACATTTCAAGAAAGATGTGGAGAAATTGGAGAAGGTCCAGAGAAGAGCAACAAGAATGACTAAAGACCTAGAAAACAAGAGCTGTGAGGGAAGACTGAAAGAATTGGGCTTGTTTAGGTTGGAAAAGAGAAGACGGAGAGGACATGATAGCAGTTTTCAAGTACCTAAAAGTGTTAAAAGGGGGTGAGAAAAATCTTTCTCCTTTGGCCTCTGAGGCTAGGACAAGAAGCAATGGTCTTAAACTGCAGCAAGGGAGGTTTAAATTGGATATTAGGAAAAACTTCCTGACTGTCAGGGTGGTTAAACACTGGAATAAATTGCCTAGGGAGATAGTGGAATCTCCATTTCTGGAGATATTTAAGAGAAAGTTGATTAGACATCTATCAGGGATAGTCTAGATGGTGCTTGGTCTTGCCATGAGGTCAGGGGACTGGACTGCATTACCTCTTGAGGTCCCTTCCATTTCTAGTGTTCTATGATTCTAGGAGAGGTGAGAGGAATTTTATGTTCAGGTCAGATTATGTAATGAGTTGCAGTTATATTTAATACCTTTGGGAATGGGGATGGTAGGGCACTAAGGAATCTACATAATCACTGATCCAGTGGTCACTCCTGCACCTGATTCATCCTTCTGCGTGGTTATGGGTGAAACGTCTAACAGAGCGTGCTTCTAGTGTCCAGGGTGTTGAGATACATTACAGAGGGTCACTACTTTCTGTGCCTCTTGAGTAATACTGTACCAGTTCCATTGCCCATTGGACAGCACGTACCTCTACCTCCAACTGATTAGCTTAGAAATTCAAAACCAGAGGGTTGAAATTTTGTAGATTAACTAGCCCAGCCATGTTGCTGTGCCAAAACCATCTTCCTCGTGCATTTCATTCAATCGTGTTTTTTCTTTTAAATGAGTACATGTTGCTTCCCTTATTCTAATGCCTTACTTTCTGCTGAAGTCAGGCCAACTAGCTGATAATTTCCTGACTGAAATTTGTCAGTTCTAAAAATGTTTTCTTTGGCCATCCTCGTGTCCCGTTTATGCAAAATGAGTTTTATTTGTGCCAGTGCTCAGAAAGTGAATTCTAATCTCCATTCCTGAATTTGAGGCAGGCACACTTAAATGCTTGAAGTAAACAAATGTTGATGAACATGGTTATCCACTGGCAAACTGTTGAGTAAACAAAACTTGTGATTCTCAAACTTTCCCAAAATAAAACCATGGAAACTCTGCTTGTGCTGACAGTCTGGGAAAATAAACAAATTCACTGAATGTAGGTTGTTCACACAGCTCCTGGGCTGGGCTGATCGTAAGTGTGCCAGCTATTACCTATACAGTGCACAGTGTTTTAAATTAGAGAATAGGAAACAGGGGCATCCTGTGGTACAGCATCTTACAGGCTTCATGGGAACCTTCCTGGTATTTACACTAGTTTACACCAGAGTTTAATTTGGCCATGTTGCTTTAAAATAACTCCTGAGCCAGCTGTGGCAGTCTGGCTGCCAATAACAGTAGCTTCAGTAGGGATCCCTATGAGGCACGAACACTCCTGGTAGCTAATCATAAAACTCTCTCATCATAAAACTCTCACAGGTTCCTTTAAGAGAGCCAAATCTCTTCCCTACATAACCCACTAAAGCTGTAAATGATTCCATCTGTTTTCTAAATCACAAAAATTGGGTATTTTCCAGTGTAGAATCCCCCATAGCAACAGTATCCACAAATTAACTGACTGCCTTTAAGTCCATGTGTGTTTAATAAGATTATTATTCTCAACATGTAGGTTTGAGACTAGAAAGATTTCTGTCAAGCTGCATTTGCTCTGTATTTGAATGATGTGTGTTGGAATCTCCTCTGTCCTTGGACATTTATAGATATCTAAGCCCTTCTTATTTGGTTATATATTGCTTGCTCATGCCTACTCCGAGTTAGGTGTGTGCTGGAAGTTTTCCCCTTAGCAGTAGCAATAGAGGAGCAGCTCTGGTGACCAGGGTTGGTTTTTTTTTAAAGGGGCTCTAGTTGCTGCAGCCCAGGGCCCCAGGCTAAGGGGGCCCTGGGCTACAGCCACTAAAGCCCCTGCATTCTATATTCCTGGCTGGTTCTGCCTGCAGGGAGAGAGGTGGCTCCGTGTGTTGCCATTTCTTTCCCCCCCCATCCTGGGCTGAAGCTGC